AATGGCTCCTCCTGCCCAAAAATAATTAACGGAGAGAAATGCCCATCTACATATCCATACAAAAATATTTCACCTCATAGTATAGATATTTGTCCAGTCCTGTCCTTACCATGAAAACATCCTAGAGATTACCTGAAAATCTAGTGTTTCAAAATACGGTCTTGGGTTTGGGTCAATTAATAAAAAAAGCAACATTTCTCACCATCTTGGTCAATGCAGCCGTGGCCCCCCAGCAAACGTCTGAATAAAGTTCTACCCATAGATTTCGAAAACCTTTTATATTTCTGTTAGGAACACAGTAACAAAATCTTAAGTACATTAAAACCTAAGCTTCAGAGGTACTAATGAAGCTTGGAATGAACAGGACACGTTACAGCTAGTTTTTAATCATTGAGATTACAAAAGCAAGGGCAGGGGTTGGAAAAATTGTCATGCTTTGCTCCTCAAATATATTTCCCTCTACGACCGTTCAACTTAAAAATGTCAAGTAATTTCCACAGGCCTGTTTGTAACCGTTAAAAATCTGGTGCAAGACTTCCTAACTCTTAAAAATGCTTATGAAGTAAAATGGAATATGACTTTTTCACACCCAACGCAATTTAAAATCTATTAAGTAGAACTAGGGTTTCTTTTTTAAATACCTGAAATACTGTCTTCTCAAGCGGCATGCAAACTACGAGTTCATTTTCAAACAATCTGCATTAGGCAAGTTTAGAACTGTCAGGTTTAGCTAAGTGTTAAAAGAAAGAGTAGGAATTCAAAAAACTTAAAGCAGCAGTAAAATATTAGTCAGTGCCTATGAGAAATGAGTCTGTCCCTTTATTCAGGGTGTCTGTGTTTAATGGTAAGCCGGGATGCATATAAGCTAGCCCAAGCATGAAGGGCAGTAGGACACTCATATGGAAAGCCAACTTTGTCCCTCAGTTATCAAGATAAGAAACCTGTCATTTCTCTCATTCACTCTGTCAGCCTTGAGATACTCCAAGCAGACTTACCTCTGTGTTGTACACCCCATATATCAGGAAGATGAAGAGACCCTGTAAAATAAAATGGAGGGAAAAAGCTGTTAACTCTAATCATTTCAGCAGTAGAAATACCTGAAATAAACTTTCCTGGGAACAGACAAAAGAAGACACACTTCATCAAGGTCAATTTATTTTTCTATTTTTCAACATTATACGCTGTACCTTGAGCATTTATTTGATAACGTGGGAGTGCATCACCTACGGCGTCCGTGCTATTCAACTGTTAGGCAATGAAAGCCTCCGCAGCAAAACACTAATTAGAAAAAAAGTAATTGTATGTTTCAATGGTCTTCTGAAAAAAAATCAGCATAAATAAATAAATAAATAAAAATACAAAGATGCTACAGCAAGCTATGAAGGAACAAATCTTTCTGATCTTTTTTAAACCAGAATAAAGAAAAAGACAAGCAATCATTTACCAGAAACATATATTCTTGCATTCATACAAGTATATACCCCAGTTAATGCTTTTAAAAATTTAAATATCAAGAGAGTGAAAAAGTATGAGAACAGGAAGAAAGAGATAATGCAAGTAACCAAATAGCATATGTGGTTTATCAATGACCTTTTAATAGCTTTCTGCAAAATGGACTGGAATTAGACAGAACAAGCTAAAAATGATTAACACACTGGCTTCAGTTTCTCTGAACTTGTTTTTTTTTTGTTTTGTTTTGTTTAACCACAACCCAAATATTGATTTCTAGGTCCTCAGTTAGCAGTGTATCATTTTACTGGTTCTTGCGAATTGCAGGCAGGATTCTATAACAACCTGCCTACTACTGAAAAGAACAGAACACCTATTTGAAGTGAAATGTAAGAGTGATGAAGTTTACTAAGAAAAATTTCTAACTCAGATCCACTTGGTATTTTTAAACATTTTTAAAACGCATCTGCAGAGTCTTGCAGAAACTAGGTTGCCTTGTAATATTAATATTTGAATGGCCACACTTGCCATATCAAAAAATGCACTTTGAGACAAAAGCTTTTTTTTTTTTCTTCTAAAAAGGAACATAAGTTAGATTAGCAAAGCAACTGCAGCTTTTCAATCCAACATGCAAGTTATTTGAAGGCAGCTATGTTAATTCTGGAATTGCTTGTTACTATTATTTTAATAGGCAGGGAACAATAAGATTCATTTCCTTAGATTATCCAAAATTCTTGGGAGGAAAAAAAAAAAAAAGTGTTTTTGCTCAATTTACATTTTGTTTTAAAACAGAAATCCAGCACATCTTTTTAGTTATTTAAACAAAGTACAGCAAGGTTCTCAACAAGAATTAAAAATAAATTCCAAGAACAGACACCTATGTTTTTGATTGCGTTTTATATAGTTCATATAAAATATACAACTCATATCAGGCTTATTTGTAAAGAGGACAGCTAGAATATGAAAACTCAGCAACTCAGACAAGTTAATTCCTTGCATGCGTAGTTATTTGTAGAATCAAATCCCAATTTTCCCTTTAAATACCACACTCGAGAACCATTCTCATCATTTTCATGGTGCTGTCTCCAGTATGCACTTAGACTAGAAAAGAAGTTGGAAAGCTTTCTCACAATTATACTGAAATAAAATTAATTTCAGCAAAAAAAAAATAATGAATACTGAAATACTGAATACTAGAGAAATAAGACGAGCATGTATTAAAAATCACTGAATGTATGAAACTGACCCTGATGAGTGAAAATAATTCCGTTGAGAGCAAGGTAAAGAACCACCACAGTTACATTTCGTAACTGACTGTGCTTCAAAAACAAAAACAAAATTAGTATATCCCTTGGGACAAAGATTTAAAGATTCGTTGCCTGTATTGAAACCTGTCAGTGACAGCTATTAACTGTACAAATGTAAATAATGTAAAAATACCTAAATTAAGTATTCTTATTTATGAATGTGTTGGGGGCCTGCCAGCACAGAATACATACCTTTATCTCCTCCTAGCTCTTTTAAGCCCCTAGGGTTTTAGGGATTCTTTCCCTCCCAGGCAAGAGGACAGAATGAGTAGCTGCTATAGCAGGAGGCAGAGAATATTCAGCTACTAGTGACTTCAGAAAAGGTCATTCATTTTTCACGCTCCTTCCAGAAAAATAAGTGGAATCACACGCTGCTCGTTATTCAGGTGCTCCCTTGAACGAGAAATCTAGCCAAAGCTGTCAATCCAAACAACATAATTTACCAAGGTTTTAATATTAAAAAAATATACATGTTTAAACTTTCTATCACATGGGATAGAAACTTCTTTTTTTAGGAACACACAAATAATGGTTTTGCTTTCCTTGAGCTTGACATCAGGTCATTTAAATATTTTACTATGAGATCTATGAAGTGACAACACTTGTCGGATTTTTTTCACGTCGACTTTGGGGGTTTATTTTTGTTGTTTTAACAGCAATAAATTATGCTAATCCAATCAGTCCGCAGCAAGGATATTACATAGCGCTTGCAATGACTTACAAGGTCTTGGCACCCACAACTGAAAACAAGAAATAATTTTCCACACAACTTTGTCATCGGCAAGTGCCTACACAGGCTGGTTTGTGGTCAGTGTGAGGTGAAAGAGAGACAAACCTTAGGTGGGAGGAAGTGTTATAAATACTGCGTCTTACCTAACTGATTACGCAGCTTCCTTAGCTCTTTAGCTGCTCTCTAAGAGCTCTGTTCCTCCGGTCAGCGGTGGTTGCACCCACAGAACAGCTCAGCTCGGGGGGTGGCTGCAGTTGCTCGCACTGATCAGATGCTCCTTGGTTCTAGAAATGAAGGAATTTTGTCCATAACTGTTTATTTAGCAGTCAAGATTAATAAAATAAAATAAAATAATAATAATAAAAAAGACATAAAAACTTCCTTCACTGTCATTAAGAAGCACGGAAGGCATGTTTATATATTTGAGTGTTACAATAGCATGTATGAACACCCAGAGGATTTGTAACCCCCATTATGCCAAGCAGTTCAAAAACACAAAATGAAAGAGTCCATGTCTTGATAAGGTTAAATTCTTGAACGGGGACATGAAAACACAAGTGGGCAAACAACTTTCCCGAAGTCCCACAGAGCAGTGAGACGCTGCTGGGGTTTGCAATCCTTCCCATCACCAGAATGCTGCTTTT